CCCACCCCCACCCACCCTACACATGACAGGACTAGAACTGGAAACAATTTATATTAGGAGAGATTTAAATCTCACAGAACTGGTGTGAGATGCTTATCATATAACACGACACCAATGATCAATCAAATGTAACATCAAACGGCATGACATATTCATGACCAATCAAACAGCATGACATATAGACCAAACAACCAATCAGACAGCATGACACATATAGACCAAACAACCAATCAGACAGCATGACACATATAGACCAAACAACCAATCAGACAGCATGTCACATCAAAAAGCACAACACATTTAGGACCAGTCAACCAATCACACAGCATCACAAATGATAAATGATATGGAATCATAAGAAGACAATACAAGCAAAACTGCAGTTTATGTTATCATCGGTGGTAAAAAATACTAGCCATTCAAACCACAGATAACAACTGCACAAAGGCCTATCATATCACGTTACATTAGCACTCATTGGTATTACTAGGTTCTATGTTGTTAACAAGCATGGAATGCATTGTAAAATATTCCAGTGAACAAGCTTATATTCACATAACAGCCTTTTGTTATATGTACATACAACCAGATTGTCATTCAATTTTCTGTTGTAAAAAAAAAAGAAGATATGATTTTTAAATGATTCTTCCCTTTGTTTAAAACACTATTTTTACATGTGCAATCTCTTTAGTGGGTTATTACAATGATTAACGAACACTATCGGGTCAAAGACTTAATCAAGACATAACACTATTCAGTACTGTTTCTACGAGAGACAATAAATGCACAATTGACTACAAGTGTTATAAGCGGATGTTCTGTTTAATTCTTATTTACTATAAATGTATTACCAGTGCAGATGTGGACAACAAAGGGATTCTTTATTTTTAAATTTAAAACAAGAGCATTTTTATAAATGTTTCAGTTTGAGCAGTATTTACACCTATATATATATATATCTATTTCATTGACAAAAGATATAAGTATATAAATTGATGTGGTATTGATGACAAACAATTAATTTGGCACAAAATGGTTGATTCTATCTCTAGGGAATATCACTAGATGGGGTCTAAATTGCGGAGTGTTATGATGGTAGGCAACAGTTTGATTAATATAGCTATAGTATGGAGAACATGTACTTTTTTTCCCTATATATATATGAGCACCAAAAATAAGCACAAATATATAACATACATTTATACAGAGTTGATTGATATACATTTATCAAAGCAAATAAAACAAATCTTCAGTGTAAACACATGTATTTGTAACTACTAAATAAAGCCAATGTATGAAGGTTATGAATAATTTCCATAAACTATTAGAAATAAATCTGGAATTTAACTGAGCCCCAGGATGAGATATAATGAAGAAATATGATGGAAGAATTCAAATCCCTCAAAATATTTAACTTTCTGATGAAAAATAAGGATTTAAAATTTGAGTGAAGATGAAAGATTATTTGCTATATACTGGCCCTGATCTGACAATAATACTATGTAACGTTGTCACCAATAAAGTTGTTCTAGCAGCTTGGACGATTATATACACTTGGATAGTCATATCGAAGTTTAACCTACAAATAACACAGCATATCATGCACCAGTAAAAAACAATCTTGATACGAGATCATTCTAACAATACATTTATCCACGAAATTGAACTAAATCTAAACTTACTGACTAGATGTCCTACTTTTATCAGTTTATTTAATATCAATAATTTCATTTCTACTTGATGTGCAGAGGACTCTTTCCTTCATTGTACAATTATTCATTAAGGAGAAAGTTCAGATTTACAATACGGGGTTATAAGATGTACATGTCACATCAAATAAACATTTATCCACATAAGATTAATTATTATGATATAAATATTTTGATGAAAAAGTGGGTTTGATACCAAGATATGTAACCTCAAATATATTTCAGTGTGTTCCGATTAATGCGTTGATTAAAATGAATTGTAGTTTAAATTGAATTTAAAGTAGTTTAAATTAGTTTAAATCAAAATTTCAGTTACCTCTAATGCTCATTTTTTCCCCTGCAGCTCCATAGGTTTTTGCTGTGAACCCAAACCAATTGTTTGAATATTTAATGTTTAATATTTAATTTGTTTGATATTTAATGCTTTAAACTAAAATATTCTCTAAAACATATTTTTTTCACCAATTATTTCCCTTGAATTAAGTACTCTCTAAGCCATCCTTCTACTGTGTATTACTAACGCATGCTTAGTATGTACATCTCACAACAGCTATAAGATAAGGCAAAACTATTGTTGACAAAAAATGTTTATAGGATGTACTGCTTTGGAACTCTTTTTGAAAGAAGATCCATTCGGTCTTAATGTAATGTTTAACCTAAGGGAGATATACATCACAGTTGTGATTATAGCCAGGATATCATCATGTAACCACTCCTATACCGATGTACTAAACGTACTTCTGTTCTCTCTCCCTGAGATACATCATCACACATTTACAAGCTGAAGTATTTTACATGCCAGCTTTGCATGGTTAATTTGAATATCGAACTGAATATACATATATTGGCTTATAACTATTTAGTCTGGAAAAATAGTTTTTTTATTTATCATTTCAACAGTGTTACTTTTTATCGTTTAAATTTGTTGTAGCTATATATATTAAGTTTATATTTCGAACAAGATTATTTGTAGAATATGAGGGGATACATTTAACATTCAAAACATTAAGTATATCGTACCCCTAAACATTGATATTGAAGCAATACCTACACCACGTTGGCCTTGTTAGGCAATTCAAATGGATAAGGTTTAAATTCCCCTTTAAGCATACAAGTTGTTATACAACAAGATACATGCAGATCAATTAATGGAAAAATCTGAGAAAAATCTAATTGTCAGTTCATGTCTTATTAATCGATTTCCTTACCAAATTCTAGACACCTAGAGAAGGTTACAGTGAAACTCATTGAATTATGACCGAGTGTTTCGTTTTCAATACAATTAATTTGTTTTCATTAAATATTAGTTTTATCTATGTAGTGTTATTTTATATTATTTGTCTGTATAAATATTCTTAATTTAAACATTTTTTTTTATTTTCCTCAGTCTTTCTTTACCCTGAGACACAAAAGGATCATGCGAGAAATTTCTGTGATAGAAACGAAAGTAACATCAAACATGGATTGCCCTTTTTAAGCATATTTTCTACAGTATAACAACAGCCAGGTCTCTCTAAGTTTATTATAGAGACCAGGAATACATTAAAAAAAAAATTAAAAAAAAAAGCATATTACAATACTGGAGACAAACAAAAGCCCACATTCAAAATGAATCTAATACAGGAGTCATTCTGAAATAATTGAGACAAAAATAATACCTTAATCAAAATCTAAGACACAACTTGTATTAAAGTCCCTCCTTCGACCAGTATTAGAACAACGATCAGTATGGAGAAGAGATTCTTATGAATGATTGGTTTTAAAACAATGTACAAAAAAACAATATGGCATCTTGTGATGAAAACGGAGACAATTTTCACCAGAAAGCAAAGACACAGTACCAGAGAAGAGAAATATAATCAAAAAATAGCTCAATAGGAACAGACATAAACTAACATGGTAACACTCCAACCACAAAAATTCACCCATCTTCTCCTGAATATCATTCACTATTAACTCAAGGGAGGGTCATTTAGTAGAATTCAAACAAAAATGTACCCATAGTCTTGGATCATTAAGTATAGCTGAAACCATACATTATAAGTGAAGTTCCACCTATAAATTCTAAATACAAAATACCTGATCTCAATATATACCTGGCATATGCATGTTCAGATAAGATGTAACCCATGGTTAAAGACATCTGTATCATTAGGTATATATACAAACAAAATGCAAACCTATATACAAAACTATTGAACTTCATACAGCCCTATACATTAAAGTATTCGGACACTTATATTTACGACTAGGAATAGCGCGAAACAAAAAATATTACAGAACTACAACGAGACCCTGTCAGACTTTTGAAAGATGTTGTTCTAACCTCCGGCTGGTCTTAATTACCTTTCATAACAATGGAAAATTGTGACAATTCTGCTGCTAAATAGGTTAATAAACCTTAAGTCGGGAATGGTAATAATTAAAAACATTATTGCCCTATTTCAATTACAAGAACAAACTCTTGTTAATACCAAAAAAATAATACTCTAACATCTTGATGAGTTTTATACAATATTAAGGTTTTGCGAAAGAAAAAAAAAAGAAAATATTCTCAGAATTGTGATACATATATATGACAAAACTTTGGTACCAAGAATATGTTTTTTATGATATTGAAGGATAATCTGACATATGTATTTACTTAATTCCTTGTTAACACGAGATGTCACATACTATAGCTAGGGAACCAGTTTTAGACCTTCCCGTCTGAGAGTCTCTATATCTTGTAATCAAGGTAAAAGTAATGAATGGACACTCTAAATAACATGTAAAAATGCCCTTTTAACAGACAGTGACATGGTTTCATATTGTAATGGACATACAATGTAAACCAAAATACTATTTACAACAGATAAACATCTGTACAAATACATCTGGTAATACGTTTTGACATGGTGTGATTATTTACAAACATTTGAATTCTAACAGTATGTGATCAATTCAAAAAGAAAATATTATAGTACTTTCAACAAAATGGGACATTATATACAAAACAGTTCCCCTTCCCCTCAATAACTGGAATTACACAGGTAAAAAAAGGCAACAAATTATACAAGTCTGATGCAACATTGGTTCAATTCTTCCATCCACTAAGATCATTGAGTTGGGCTTGACTTAAAAAGACAAGATCGTTTAGAAAATTAATGGATGAAAGGATTTTAAAATGGTGACATTTGGCAGTTTTTTGTCTGTTTATGAAGCACTTCCCCTCAACAGTCGCATAATTAAAGGGTACAGATCAGAACACATATTTACATATTCACAAAGCAACAAGGTAAATTTATCACAGAACATTTACATTAAAATACTCTGAATTCTAACATTTTGTGTCCATACAGGTTTTTTTTTTAAATTCATTTCAAGAAAGTATAAAAGAAAATAAAACTTTTGTTATTCTGTTCGACATACCCGTACCATATTATACAATACTATTTTTCAGACGATTTATCTCTATATATTTCTTGTCAAAATATTTCTTTCATGGAATCAAGTAATTAAAACATCTTCCCTAGCTTGGTTCAATGGGTATTGCTAAATCTTTTTACATTCTAGACCATATCTGTAATATCAAAAGTCATGAATTCTGTTACTGAGAAATTATGCTAAAATTGGGTGTCTAACTTTAACCAGAAAAATTGTCTTTATTTTCAAACCATAAAATATGTTAGAACATTCCTTCCAAGTATCCCTAAGATTTGATTCAACATGACACTTCATTAAAATTATAGCAACAAAGATCTTAAAACTATTCTTATAGAATCAATAGTGTAATAGAATGCGAAGGTAACCAGATATGTTTATAATCATTACTTAACTGGTATCAAAGTAAGGTAGACAAGTTGAGAACTGAACAACAATGTTAAAAATTGGTGAGACTTGAAATCACAGTTCTCAGATCACAGAAAACCCCAAACACTGGAAAACAGGAACTGAACCACGAATCTAAGATGATGGATTCATACAGAAACATCTGAAAATAAAACCTTACTGACATCCAATGAAATTCATCACAGAAACGAAGAATCGTGTGCTATTACCTATAGCACCTGAGCAGTCTATTCTTCATCAAGAATGATTTTTTTCAAGAAAATAAATTGAAATCTTCTGACCAATAATCAAGAAAGTCTAATTTTCCTTGAATTAAAATGATTCCAAGCTATTTAACATATGAAATTCTTCAAGGTCATAATAATAGAGATATATCTAAATGTATGTCATTATCTACAATACGGATCAGGACTGGTCCGTTTGTTATTGGAAGCTGCCTTTAGCCCCACAGAGGGCTGCAATCATTCTCACTCCATGATAAAATAACATGATGTATTGCACATTCTCCAATGAAATCAATGAGATCAAATCATTGTCTTTACAAGCAAGGAACACCTGCCCTACCAGACAATCCTAAAGTGGACTCTACTATCCTTTAATTCGAGCCCAGCATTTATGGTTTGTATGGAAGTAAGGTTGGGAAAATAAAACATCAGCATTTTCATCCCTAAGATGGCATATAGCCTTCGTTATAACAGATTTAGTTATTTCTTTGTCATTTTTAGGGATGAAAATGTTTACAATTGTTAAGAAATATATCGCAGGCAGCTACACACAACTTTTAATATCCCTACCTTTTCCAAATGGACTTAACTTCCTTTTGATAAGATTTCGGCAATTATGCAATGTAGGGATAAAAACTTTCAGTATATGTAAAACCAAGTCATACTGAGAACTTCCCTCTGATATGTTCCACCACACAAATTGTCATGATTACATGATATGCACTTTAGTGACAACATTCAAGTCTATAGCGTCTCTTGGTCGGACATCACTACGTCTTTCCTTTGCACCACGTCATCCGTTCAACAGAGTTGTAAGTTTGACTATAATTACCTTACCTATCAGTTATATTAACAAACCTAGGAGGTAAGAAACATGGTGATTAATCATCAGGTCACAATGTTCTGGTTTTAAACATTTTGTTGTCAAGTCTTTTCCTGAAATTTTCGCAATATTGTTCTCTTTCTTCTACAATCAATACAATTCTCATACTGCATCATAGATATATAGTGTTTGATATAAATTTGCTGACACAAACAAAAAATTCTAGTCGCTGTATGATATAAAGCAATTCTGATCAGAATATCCTCATTTGCATTTCCTGGCAAGTGTTACAGCCAAGCACAGCTACATCATTGTAATGATTTCTGTCAAATTTTGCAGACATTTCAAAGCTTGACTAACACTTTGTTCAAACCTTTAGTTTACTGCCTGATGTGCAGAGGGATGACAAACTTGTGACTGAATGGCGAGATGTAGCGAATGCCGACTTCATTGAAGACTTTCTTTGGAAATCCGAGGTCGCAGAGGTAGACCTGAGCACAGTTTCCCAGGAGAGGGAGGGGGAGAGAGATGCTGAGACACCACTTAAATGCGACATTGCCACAGTTGACGGGCGGGTCCAGTGCCAGCACTGGGGCCCTGTTCTGTCCTGACCAACATTCAAGCAGTTTGTACCAGGCCTGATCCCGCAGGCTGGTGTGTTCATGGCTGTCCATGGCATTGATTATCATGTCAATAGAACCAACTGGAAGATCTGTAGAAAGACAGGAATAGGCATAAACATCACTAAAGTCACTGCTCACCTCTTTGGACTTATGATTTATCAATGGAACAAATCAAATGCCTGAGACGAAAGGTGTACTATGAAAAGAACATACGGTATATTTAAAGTACTGAACTGAACATTTGTCTCCAGAAATGAAACTGTTTTATATGAAGATAAGTTTTTTAGTTCTGTGAAGTAAACACAACAGTAAACATTTCAATCAAAGTAATACTACAGCAGTGATATTTCCCCCTATTCATAAGAAATACTAGAGCTGTAACGAGTATCCAACTAAGGTTTGTTTTGAAAGGAACCTGAATCTGAAAATGTTTATCTGGATTAACGTTAGCAGCAAAATATTTAACTGTCTGTTGCTGCTAGAAGTTGTCGCCCATGTCAAAAAAAGTAAAAGCATAAAACATTTCAGCATCCTAGCTTCCTGTTTTGTTTTCATGAAATTTATTGCTTGGGAACATGTTCAAAAGCAACATTGTTATCATTTTGTTTTCTCACATCAGTATTTCCCCCCAGGAATCTACTATGCATTTCTTTCAAGCTGGACATGTACATCTGATCTGGGCCATCAGAAGAAACATGCATACATCAAACATATGCAAGCATGTCCTTCAATGACCTTATAGCTGTACATGTTAATAGGATACTTAACCCTATAAAACCAGACCAATCAATGGAATTGTTCAGGTCAGGTGTGCATCTACACAAAACACATTCTAAACGAACAAGAGCTGTAATGGTATACACTGTTTTATCAGCTTAATATATTCATAACTACAAGATTATCTTTTTTTCACATCAATATTTTCATCAGCTCTTTTTAATATGCTTTCGGATATTCCCTTGAGAACTGTATGAACTAATTGTACTGTCAAAATTATTATTATTGCTTACAATAATTAATAGATAATACATCAGAGAGATCTTTGACATAAATCACTATAAGTTACCTGTAGGACTGGAAGTCCTTTTGGCATCACACAAGGCGAATAGCGACAACTCATCCTCCATGGCACGGATCATCTGGACGCAACTTGGTACAAATAAATGTACCTTGACATTGTGATTGGATAACTGGCGCGCACAGCTTACTCCCTGGGCGCCCTGGATGTGGGGACCACACAGCACAACTACGGTGGGCAACTGGTGACCATTCTTGGGATTCAACCTAGCACAAACCAACAGGATTGTTTAAAATATGTATATGACATACAAATTCTGTAATGTCTTTTAGGTCTGGAATATACATGTCTTTAAGGTCTGGAATATGCTGAGTTTTTTGTTTAAGACAACATATGAGAGAAAAAGATTTTAAAACAGATCAGGGAACTTTCACTCTCTACCTGTATGCCTTTAGTGGGTTTTTTTCGAACAAATAATTCAAAACCTGTTTGCGTTCATCATAAGGAATGTGACTAGCTATACAACACTTCAGTATCTCATATTAGTGTATATATTGGTATGTTTGGTTCCATCTATAATAATTTACCTGTTAGACCCGCCAAGCAACTGAAGTACCATCTCACTGGCAGACCGTCCTACCATTTCTACTTGGCGGTCTGTCTTAAATCCGTGTTTCTCTGCCGTCGCAAAAAGACGACATCTCAAATCGTACGAGATACTAGGTACCACCAAGCCTTCATCTGATTAAAATATCAGGTATAATATTGTGTTACAAATCTTTATAAACAAACCAATGAATGCATTCTTATAAAAAAGAACTGTGACCAAGAGCAATCTCAAACAGAGCATGACATCAGAGGAAAATGACACGGTGCGGTAACATTCAAGTAAATTTACAATTTGTTTTCTACTTGCAATTTTCTGAAATCAAATTATGTTAATAAATTAAATAATAATAAAATCTGACGGCAGTATGGCATAAGCTCACATGGCCCTTTGGGCCAGGCGAGTAAAATATGAAATGTATCATTGTTAAGTGTGATTAAATCCATACACTCATATATATACAGGTGTACAAATTTGTGTCTTACCAGTTACAAATTGTTTGGCATTGCTGTGACCCATGGGCACTTTAATCTGTTGTAGCACTACTGGTTCTGATGCAAGAACATTTTCATCACATCTATATTTAAGCGGCTTCTTGGATTCAGCTGGGTTTACTGCTCTTGGGTGGGTGTTTTCAATCTCTTCAAACACAGCCTTCTTATCAAATAGAGCCAAATTAGACTCAAAGTCAAATTCCTGAAGCACTGAATCACTTGGACAGCTAAAGCAGTCTTCTCTTGACATCCCCTGCTTTTTGTTATTGCGGAACTCAATTTTCTTGGGTGTGGTGGACTTTTTGCGGACATCTGAGGCTGCAATCAGAATGTAAGTAATTTTTAATGGTTATAATTATGCATCATAACATTTTTTTTTCATCAAATATCTCAAAATTGTGATGTTATTATTTGGTAATTATTTTATATCATAAAATTGAAAAACAATCTGCCTTAGCCAAAAAAAATTATTGTTGTTCTGTTATCATCTTCAGAAAATATAGGGCAGGAAGGTAGACATTTTTTTAAATTTTAGAAAATATTTTACGATGCTTTTATACTTCTGAATTCAACAGTACATATCATTAAATGCCAATAAAAACTCAGAGGTAGGCACACAAATCTAGGGTAGGTAAGGTTATTGGTAACACAAAATATTTTATTTGGCCTTTTATTGGTTGAAACCAATTTCAAAATTTGCATGATTAACATATTGGTAGGCATTTCAATTTAGAGATCAGGTTGAAGATTGATGCTTCTAGAGTGAAATTTTGAACATCTTACCAGAATTCCTTCTTGGCCTCATCTGGGATTCTTCCTTGGTGGGTGTAAAACGTACATTTCTACCTTCATTTGTTGGGGTGTACCTCTGTCCACCAGTCTGTCCGTTTGTACTAGCATACCCATTACCCAGCACATTAGGTGAATGTCTCTGACCAGCCCCATTCGCCTGCTGTGAGAACCTGGGGCTGTATCTATCACCGCCATTATAGTTTTTATAACAATTACTGTTAACATCCCTGGCTAAACCAGGTCGTTGAGAGTAGCCATTTTGACCACCATGTCCATTTGCAAACGGAAGTTCACACACCTTGACTGGGGATGGACATCCCTCCCCATCACTGTTTTCAGGGGAAAGTTTAGAGGGCGTGGCCTCCTTCGATACAATAACTGCAGCCTCAGTAGGTGACTGCAGAATTTTAAGCTCTTTAATGTCTGAAGCACTGGAAAGGAAAACATTCAATGTTCACATGTTAAATTATGTTGTTGCTATGACTTGGGAAACATTAAATTCTTATCAGAAATGAATGATTCATAATTTATTCAAAATATTTTTTTTATATAACTACTAACTTTTAATTGACAGTTGTACTTTGTGTTGAAATTGTATCTAATCAATTAAATATGATAATGATATACTTGTGCAAGTTCTCATGATCACATTTTTTATCAACATACATATTATGAAATTAAATGCGAAGTATACAAGTTGTATAGAAAGCCACTTACTTGAGTGTAATATTCTGTACCTCACACTTCAGTCCATTCCTATAAGCTTTAAAGATAGTGAGTGTTTGTGCTTTGTTATTGACAGACTTGAGCTGGCCCTGGTATGTCCCAAGGGTTTCACCACAGTCCAGAGAGACAATACATCCAATGAAATCAGATCCCATTCTTAATTTTGACTTTTTTGTCTACCTGAAATCATACATTATGATATTCTTAAGAACATGCACATGAAATAATAAATAAACCTAGTCTAGTACATATATTAACAGCATGGACAATGTTAAAATTTAACTAAATATTTTTTCTAAAGCCTCCATCTGATCACAGGGGCATGGATCACTTTACTTGTAACATTAAAAAATAGCGGTCTCCTATACATATATTAGTATAGGAGACCCCTTTTTTTTGATATTACAAGTAAAGCGATCCATGCCCCCGTGCATCTGATCATGACTAAACCAATGTCTGGTAAAAATGTGTTCCATCAAAAAAATATAGTATCTTTAAAACTATTGGTAATTAGACAAAAATGAAAAACAAACTACAAATTGAATTTTGGTCAGATGGTGTAGTTTCACACAGACAGCAAATGAAATCCAGTACACCAACATTTTTTGAAAAATCAGCTGAATGTCTCAGTTATCCCTGAAACATTCTGGCCATGGACATCTTTCAACAGGTTGTGCAATGTAATTTATGAAATTGCAGTTATATTATCTTTATTGAATCACATTTCTTACAGAATGTTCTAGTCCTAAAAAATATCAAATGTGTTTCTTCTTCTGTTAAAATATTGATTCTATTGGGTTAATTTCCAGTATATTCTATATTCTTTATAACCATACAGGTGGAAAATAGAATACACGGCCATTTCTAGTATGATAAATTATTTTCTTTTAACAACAGAAATTGCATTAAGCTCTATGATCCATGTTCAATTCTCGGGCACGAATGTTGATATAGTATTAACAGTCCGCATTCTGAACGAGTGAATCCGTAATTCACACTAATTTATGCGTTAAACATCAACAACGCAAATATGTTAACCGAATGACCTACTTTAAACACCTCGCAGCTGGCCGTCTGGTAAAACCATATGAGTTTATAATTAAAAATGCAAGGTCGTCTTTAAAAATGTAAAGCCAAGTAATGTTCACAACAGTTCTCCAATCAATTCGATATCGACAAGTATCGAAATGAATGCGATATTCGCAACATACTGGACTTTGTTTTGGTGTCTTTGTCTTGGCAATGGCTGCGGTTGTTTATCAACAGTCGAAAATTTGGAAACAAAAATGCTAAAATTTGGTATTGACGAGGATTAGTTTATACCATAAAATTAAACGTTCGGGTAAATGGATTAAAATACTTACCTAATCGAAAACTATTTTTCTAAATCAATTACTTTTCATACCCAAACAAAAAGAAAAAATCGACACTTTTTCAAGCTATCTCTCAAGTTTTCAACATGGCCTCCAAATAAAATGTCAGGCCCGCTTACAACTCAGACAAATAATTCAAACAATATGAATTTAGTTTGTTTTGCCTTTGATTAAATATGACAACAAAAAAAATCTTTAAACTTTTGAACGATATGATAAGATCAAAATTGTATACAATATTGTCGGAAAACACCAAAGTTAGAAATAGGGAGTATTTTATTTTCATGCTCGCAAGGGGCACCCAATTCACACTTGGCACGGAAAAGGTTATCAAACAGATCACGCGAAAATCATGTTGTCAAGATGCAGCACTAGATCGCGTTTTTTGTACCAGGCGGTAAGAAAAGAAAAGTTTTCAAACTATTTAACTGTTTTATTTCAGAGCGTGTTCTGTTTAGGAAAATGTTTGCCTTTAGAAAGATAAATAGACACCGATGACTTTGACTTGGTTCGTGTCAGGGATCACAGTCCAATCAGAGACTAGCTAGCCTCTTGTCAGTCTTGACTCTTGTATAATAGCTGTAGCATCGGATCCCGATGACCAATTTTCTAAGTATACAAACTAGACCAATATCACACAGCAGTGTGCTTATCATCATTGTTTAGTTTTAAATTTTACATGGAAAGTAGTTTATGTAACCCCTTAGCCGAGTTTCCTCTGGGTCTGACACCAGTGTTAGACATTTTGACAGCTAGATATCTGGTGTGGGGCCAGACCACACTACTATATGAAAAATAAGATCTATATATCTATATTAATCAATTGATTATTTATTGATCCCAAACCGCCCTTTTTTCAATCATTCGAAATTCGTAGGTTATGTAAATTACACAGTAGTGACTAATCCAATAAAGGTGTAGTAGAGAAGGGTATTGGTTACAATATATATTGATTATACGTTTAATTTATCCCGTGGCAATACACTGCCGGTCAGCTAAGTGACGTGTATTAGACTGTGATATTTGTGTCCAGTATCTAGTGCACTCAGTAATTTGCATACCTGTATTTTTTTCTTTTAGAAAGTGTAGTTGAACTGTGACATTGTCAGGTCATTTCTGGGTGACTGGGGTTGACCCTGTCATGCTGGTTATCGACTGGACAGTCGGGGATATACCACATATAGTTTCTGGTGTGTAGGCTAGGGTATATAACTACCATGGTCTAATAGGGTGCATGCAGTCGAACAGATTTGTTTCCAGAGGTGTGCCACATTTCTTGCCACGTATAGCTTAGCACCGGGCGGGTGGTCGTAGACCCTAATGGCAAGGGGGTTTTACAAGCTTATGAAGGACCAAAATCCAGGAGCAGGTTCGTTTGTGAATTTAGTATGTAAGTGTGAGTGAAAGTACTTCTCATCTGTAAATATTCCATTCACACGTTAATAAATATTGTTAACAGTTTATTTGGAGCCTATTATCTCTCCTTTGGCTGACAGATTTGGTACGTTGTGACCTATACTACCGAACCTGGGTTGAAGCCACAGGGCGATGTGGGACTCAGGGACACACTAAATTACGGATTATGTGTGATTTTCCCGGAGCCCCGACCCGTCCTATTACGTAGGAGAAAGTCTTGAAAACTTCTTAATCTATTCCGTTTTCACTTTTCAGTCCTAATCAGTACAGTTTGTTGATTAGTCACTCCTCAAACATCCTTTAATTTTGTCCTGAAAAAGCTGATTGTAGGGGCAAAACCAGTTGACACTTTAAGCTTCAAACTACAAGAACTACATGCTCCTTAGCCTGTTGTGATTGAATCTACCAATATGACTTTGTAACATATTTTACTTTTTACTCAATCACATACATTTGGGTATCCAGATGATGGGAAGAGGACCAGATTATTCCACCATTAAAGATACCACAGAGTTGGCTTTTAACCTAAACCTTAGTAAATAAGTAAGAGGTAATGTACGCTGTCCCAGAGTTGTTTACCCGTTGACAGTACCAATGTTTTCTTACCTGTGTCTATCAACCAATAAGAATTTTGCAATACAAATCACATTCTTTGCTGACATAATATCCATTTACTGATTCCATGCATAGCTTGCTATGAAAAATCAGTGCATTTCAGGTTTGATTTAGCCTGAAAAGCATTGACAAGACATGAACACATTTGGATTGTTAACTTTATAGCATTCTTGATACAGGTACATGCAACACATTGTATTAGAATTACCAAATTTGAAGACGGGAAAATTATTTCAGAAATTTCATGTCATATCATGATATTGTGACTCCAAAGTATACTTATCTGTGATAGCCACCAGAAGGCCTAAACTGGCACCCCTCCTTTCAGGTTCCAGGTCCAAGTGAGGCAGTTGCCAGGTACTGGCTGCAAGTCTGTGTTTTTTCTCCAGATACTCTGGTTTCCTCCACCAACAAAAGCTGGCGTGTCCTTACATTACCATATAGCTGTTAATAGGATATAAAGTACAAAGAAACCAAAGCAAACTTTTCTACAATCAGTGTTATTGCCTCTCTAAAAAAATGCAATATTGATATTCACCAAGATGTCCGAAAAATGTCCTTACCAGTATGTGTTATTGTCGTTTGATGTATCTTTTCTCAGATTCATTTGGTTAGATGTTAATCCATGTTATTTTTTATTTTTATTTTGCATGTGAAATTTTTGATGGCTTGCAAAATTTTCCTTGTGGTCAAAATACATAGACTTTGAAGTCAGTTTTGACCGCTGAAGATTTATAAGTTTTAATCCATCATTGATGCTAATAAAAATAATCGTATGATATATATTTTTTTGACATCTTATGATTAGTCTGTGACATTTCTCACAATTTCTTTTAACAGAACTCCATTTTCCAAAGAAATGGTAGCACACTGGTGATAGCAGAGCATGACAACGAGAAACTAACACCAGTCACTTTAAATGCCATCACAGCTGCAAAAAAGTTGGGTGATGTATCCTGTCTGGTAGCTGGCACTCAGTGTGCTAAGGTAAGCTTGTATATATTCACCATATTATTCAGAGCTTTCGATTAACATTTAGCAATGTCAGAAATCAAATACCGGTAGCATTATCCCTGAAAGGATTTGGAAGGTCAAAACTCCTGTCAAGTAGTGTCATGTCTTTTCCAGGGGTCGAAACTCATTTTAGTTATAAAAAAAACCCTGGTTAAAACCATTAAGTCCATAAAGTTAGTTATGACCCCTCCCCTCCCCTCCCTCCCCTCATCTCCCCTTTATTTGTGATATACAGTACCAGCTGTTGTACGGCCAAGCTCACATATCGCCATCAATTTTGTCAGAACCAATTTCTCTACACTTAAATATGCACCTGTTGTATTGCCAAACTGGTGGCATTTTAACTATGTTGTACATTTTCTATTGAACTTTTCCATCAAGCAAACTGTCCTGATGACTACTTCAGGTTTCGTTAGATGTCATAATTGTCTATTAAAATGTTTACAGGTAGCTGAGGAAATCAGCAAGGTTGACGGTGTACAGAAAGTCCTGCTAGCAGACAATGAGGCATTCAAAGGATTTTTGCCAGGTATAATGCAGAACTTGATACAGACAAAACCTCTATCAGATAGATTCCCAGTCCTGTACTTGTTCACTTGATTTTCTCACAGCCTTCTCAGCATTGTGCCATAAAGTGACAATGTGACTTCAACAACACACAGATCTCATACTTCTCATATTTCATACACCGTTTTAACAGTTCGGTAACAACTTACCACACCTGGCAGATATCAGGTTTTAACTTCTCATGTAAAACATGTGTTTATGATCATATGTAATAATTGCAACACTTCATTGAAGAGCTTTACATATTAGATGCTCTGTGTCACATTAGAAATGAGACATCTTTGGGGCAGAGCTGGTTCAGACTGCTTGTCTAGTATATCTGGTGGGAGTAGGCCTTAACTGAAGGATTTTTCTTTTCTAAACGATAATGAGACGCATGATACTTGAATACTGTAATCAAACAATTTCTAAATACGAGAAATAACTTTGTGGGTTTTGTGAGATAATGATTTGGCACTGAAATTACAAGAAGCAAGTTTGTTGTGATAATGATTTGCTCAATATTCCTTGGCACATGTTTTTATCTAGTTATCACATCATACATTTATGATTTTTACCAAAACACAATTACTGCCCGATCCCTTTGCAATTAAAGGTAATGGTCAAATTAGATTTTGGTACCTGTTATAACCCTAACAAAAAAAACTGTGTGATACAAGCTTAAGGAGGTAGATCATATCACTACCTGTCTGTTTGATGTTTTTACCTGGCTGTGTGATGTTCTTACCTGTCTGTGTAAAAACCTGTCTGTGTGATGTTTTTACCTGGCTGTGTGATGTTCTTACATGATACTGTTTTCTGTATTTCACAGAGTCGCTCACACCCCTCCTTCTGGCTACACAGAAGCAGTTCAATTTCTCACACATATTAGCTGGAGCCACAGCATTTGGAAAGGTTGGTATCGGATTGTAGCCTTGAAATCAAAATCGATAGAATTTAAAATCTTGTGTAAACACACCTGTGAAAATGTGTACATAAAATTTCGGGTTGAAAATTCTGGAAATAGCTTCTTTTTATGAACTGGTTTACCTTTTAGAGTCCAGACAAAAATATGTTCATTAACAGGATGAACGATTTATCTCCAATGATAGTCCTAGTCAGGGAATGCAAGTGTATCATCTTTAATACCACAATATGAGTTATTTTAGCACACCTGGCCAAAAGTGTCATCGAAGATCTTGCATTATGTTACCTTCCATTACCTGTCATTTGTGTTTATTGTCTATCTATAAATGTTTTCCCTGATAGCTCTTCTTAAGGAATCAGCAGGCTGATCACAACCAAATTTGGTAGGAGTTATCCCTAAGTAATGTTGATTCTGATTTGTGAAATACAAGTGTTACATTATAATGTATACTGAAGTCAAACTTTCCCTTTTATGATGGTGAATCCATCATGATGGCTAATGTAAGTACACAGCATATTATACATTGTATTTTCAATGTGATCAATGTGAGTTATATCACTATAACACCCACAACAATGTTAGAGGTGGGGGCAGGGTTACTGGAGTCATGGTGACTGTCTGTCCATCCATCTGTCCGTCTGTTGATGGAAGTTTATTCAGAGCAATTCGTCTTCACTTCTCAATTGATATTTTTATGATATTCAATCATTTTTTGAAAATCTTATCACCGAAAGTAAATTCTTCAATCTCAATCCTGACGAATGTGAGTAGATATAAAAGTGATTATAAGTTGCTGATATTTTGCTGACAATAATACAAAGCAATTTTGTATTAGGAAACACTATGTTATTAGTTATACTATGCATGTACTCTTTCTGAATCAACTTCAATAGTAGATTCTATTTCTTACTTAGATATTTAAAATCATTTCCACATTTTGTCTTTGAAGGGTTTGATTCTGAGAGTGATAATTACACAGCCTCTTGGTTTTGTCTTTATATAATTTGATTCTGAGAGTGATAATTACACAGCCTCTTGGTTTTGTCTTTATTGAATATGATTCTGAGAGTGATAATTGAACAGACTCTTGGTTTTGTCTTTATAGAATTTGATTCTGAGAGTGATAATTACACAGCCTCTTGGTTTTGTCTTTATAGAATTTGATTCTGAGAGTGATAATTGAACAGCTTTTTCGTTTTGTCTTCATAGAATTTGATTCCGCGAGTCGCAGCCAAGCTAGATGTTTCCCCTATTTCTGATATCATTGGCATCAAGAGTGAAGACACCTTTATCAGGACCATTTACGCTGGTAAACGATCCTACAACCAGTCACAGAACTATTTACAATCTGTAAAGTCAGCTAGAGCTTCATAGATTGATATCCAAAACAGCTTATATTGCTGGATCAATTATGGGAATAATTCTGTATTCTTAAGTTTTGGAGTGAATTTATTTCCAGAGTTTAGAATTATATCATAATATGTATGGTCAAGTGGTTGGGATTATTGCCTTCCAAAAAGACATTGTAAGTTTGACAGCTGTAGGTTCTAGTCATGTCTCATTTAGAGTATCTTCTAGAAGTGCAAGGAGACTATTTAGGCGACAGTGGACACTTAAGTTACTCTCTCATTCTTTTTACACTGTTCACAGCGAATTAGCACATTGAGAAAACCAATCAATATCTAATTGCATAGTCAGAAAGTCAGTGTTATTTGACACACTAGTAATTGTGGTGTTGCTGTGTTTAGGAAATGCTGTACAGACCGTGAAGTCCAATGACACTGTAAAGCTTGTGTCAGTCCGAGGAACAGCTTTTGAAGCGGCAGGGACAGAAGGCGGTAGTGCCGCAACAGAGAATGGTATTTATGATCACTAAATGACTCATTATCTCTACCATAAATATCCCAATCTTCATTTAAATTGAAATGTTTTGTCATTGAGGCATATCTTTTGGAGCATATTAAAATATTTTGTCGGTATTTTGTATAATTACAATGTGGTCGAAAAATGAATTTAATGGTAATTTGAAGATTTAACATTACAGTATTAATATTATGGTATGTATATATGTATATTTTACATCAATACTAAGGTTTTATACTATTGTTATCTGAATGGTTTTGAATCAAACTATGATATATTTCAGCTCCAACTGCTGAGATCAACAACTCAATATCCGAATTTGTTGGTCAGGAATTGAGTAAAAGTGATCGTCCAGAATTGACCAGTGCAGGAATAGTCATCTCCGGAGGTATAGTAAAGACATGGAGTTAATTCCCTTACTATGTTAGACCACTTTAATTGAAAATCTGTGCCAGTTATCATCTAATAATTTCATGCATGTGCAATAATTGAATGGAGTTAGAATAATTCCTTGTAACTTAATTCATGATTTTTTTTCTCTTTCTCATGTTTAAAATACAATCTTTGCAGATATGTAACTGGTATTCTTACAGGATTTTTTTAGCATTACCAGACTCTGAAATAATAATGGTAGTCAAGCAAAACCTCCTTTTTGATTTGATTTTTTTCTTCTTTAAAATTAGGGTCAAGAATTTGTTTTATTAACGTGACCATCTGCATTCAGAAATTAATTGTTTTCTTTTCTATCATTATATGCATAAAAGTGAATGTTACAGTATAAGGTCATAATTCTCTGAATTGTGATAGGAGGTCCATGTGTTGTGTTGTGGTATTCCTTCACAGACAGGTATTGAGTTATAAATAGATATATTTGTCTGCTTTTGAAAGTTTGTCATATGATGTACTTAGTTTCCACTCCAAGAATCAGGAAATCTTCCAACTATTTTTGGTTTGGTTTGTGTTTGTTTTACGTCCTATTAAAAGCTAAGGTCATTTAAGGACGTGTAAGGTTTTGGTGGTGGAGGATAGACGGGAGTCCCGTAAAAAACCCACTGACCAATGGCCAGTAGCTGGCGACTGCCCTACGTAGGTCTCAAACTCGCGATCCAGTGGTGGAGGGCTAGTGGTAGCAGAATTTCAGATGCCTTAACCACTTGGCAACCATGACCCCTATTTTTGGATAATTACAATTATAATTTATAACATAAACATAACAACTCTATTCTAAATGCAGGCCGAGGGATGAAAAACGGGGATAACTTCAAGCTTCTGTATGACCTTGCTGACAACATGAAAGCGGCAGTGGGAGCGTCTCGTGCTGCTGTAGATGCTGGGTTTGTCCCTAACGACATGCAGATTGGACAGACTGGAAAGATCGTAGCTCCCGTAAGATTTCATTAAGTTGTCACCATAGTTTTAGGTATAGGATGTTGTAAATTTTAGTAAAGGATATAGTCAAAAACAAAATTGGTAACATGTGATTTGCAAAAAAAATAACTATTAATAACCATTGTGTTGTAATATAAAATGTATTTGGTTTGTCACAAACAAAAGTATAAATTTAGATATCCTGGTGCTGCACCTGGCTAAAATAACCTGGGCAGATCACTGCCTATGGAGTTTCTGTAGGCGATAGTTTGTTTTACTGATAATTGTTTGAAATAGTTTTATATGTGTACCCCACATATACACCATTTTATTCTGATTACAGTTAATGTGTATATTGTTGATATTGTAGAATATGTATGCAGGTGTTTACAGTTGATTTATAGAGATCTGTGTATACATTTTTAAAGTTGATTTATTGAGATCTGTGTATACATTTTTACAGTTGGTGTATTGAGATCTGTGTATAGATGTTTACAGTTGATGTATTGAGTTCTGTGTATAGATGTTTACAGTTGATGTATTGAGATTTGTGTATAGATGTTTAAAGTTGATTTATTGAGATCTGTGTATTGATGTTTACAGTTGATGTATTGAGATCTGTGTATAGGTAGTTACAGTTGATGTATTGAGATCTGTGTAAAGATGTGACAGTTGATGTATTGAGATCTGTGTATAGATGTTTGCAGTTGATTTATTGAGATCTGTGTATAGATGTTTACAGTTGATGTATGAGATCTGTGTATAGATGTTTACAGTTGAGGTATTGAGATCTGTGTATAGATGTTTACACTTTCACTGTTGTAGGATCTGTACATAGCTGTAGGTATATCCGGGGCTATCCAGCACTTGGCGGGTATGAAGGACAGTAAGGTGATTGTGGCTATCAACAAGGATCCTGATGCACCTATATTCCAGGTGTCCGACTACGGACTTGTCCAGGACCTCTTCAAGGTATAGTTAATCAAATGAAAACCTTAAACCATCCCTCAAATGACCAATCGGACATCCCTGTATATAAGTTTCCTGGATATAAATGAGTAATGAGAAATTATATTGCTGATGCTGATTTTAACCTATATTTTTATGCTTCTTTGATTTGGTTAAAACGAATTGTCTTATCTTTATGTAAGGTTTATAGAATTGCTCTCATCTCTTTCTTGCCTACAAGTGCTATGTTTATTATACTTGCATCAATTGTGTATCTAGGGTTGCTCTACTGAATGCATATTGCAGATGCTGATTTTGACCTTAATTTTACCCTTTAGTGCCGTAGTTAACAACAATTGGTCTTCTGTATTTTTCAGAATGTGTGAAATTAGATTTGATTGTACATTAAAAACATTGCATTCCTACGTTACTGATACAATATTGTATTACTTACAGGCTATTCCAGAAATGACAGAGATGACAAAGAAATGATTTGAAGTGATAAGTTTGATTGGAATCATTTGTAAATTGGATCACAATACCCTACCACAAAGGATTACACAATCTTCATGGAGATATGAAGTTTGGGAACAAAAGAAACTGATTTGAAAACATGTTATGTTGAAATTATTCATGGTTTGAAGTTTTCTAAACTTAATAATGAAATGTTGCTGTATGTTTGTAATTTATACTGAGTAAATCTGTTAAACAATCTTTAAGCCTTTACCTATTTTCACATTTTATTTAACTGTTAAGCTGCTGATTTTTGCGGATGTAAGGATTTTAAATTCACACATTACCTGTACAAGAAAATGTTAAATTTTCAAATATATTGATTGATTTCATAACTACTTCCCTTAAAAGTAGCAAAATACTTAAAAATGAAACGAAATTGTAAATAATGAGTTTAAGCAGCCAATGCGCAAAATACTTGTTGCTTCAGTACAAACATAATTATTGTGAAATCTTGCTTAAACATGTTGCTCATAACAAATCAACTTCTTCTCTGCCATTGTTTTATATTAGGACTTCAGACTTGTTATGTAGGTACCAAGAACACTGTATATGTATTTGACATTTGAACTAAGTACCACATTATGGGTTTCCAGGCCAGATCTTGCCCAAAGACATTTTTTAAATTTGCTTATAAATCACAGCCAAATGTTTAACATCAACAAACATTTCAATGAACAGTTATAATACTATATGATTATGCTATAACAGAACAAGTACATAAACACATGCAACAATATGTAATTTCAAATAATAATTTGGAATATCACAGATCTGCATTTAACAATCTAAATATGTATGACTGGGATTGTGAGAGAATGTACACACAGGAGGCCTTTGAATGACAGCAGTATTTAGAGAAACATACTGCTACCTCCAAGGGTGTAGTCTATACAGTTCATAATGAAGGCTGTTGAGTTTAAAAGATAACCGTTATCAACAGATTTATACTGCCCTGTTTGTCTACTCTAGGGATGTAGTATCTTCGCTAGGCAAGTGTTCGCTTCATATACACTCCACTTAAGTAGAGTGTATACGAAGCGAACACTTGGCTAGCGAAGATGGGGATGTAGGTAAATTGTATGTATAAAATTATAAATATACTTCCTAGTTCATATAATTAATATCTTAATTTTTACCATAGAGACAGAGGACATCATTAATCATCTTTCTTCTCTTTCTTTCTCTTAAATATTTTATCAACAAATGATTGTTTAGAAGTTCTTCTCATCATAAATCATATATAAAGAAAATTAAGAAATGAACAGTGTGATCCACTAGAAACTAAACTGTACATCTATATTTTAATATGTCAAGATCGTATTGGGATGGGAATAGAGGTAATATTTAACCAAACATACAGGAAAACACTGATGCTTTCATTAGGAGATATATATTTTCAGTTTCCACTTGATTTTCAGGTAATCAAAAAAACAACTTACTTGAACACTAAATTGTCCCTTTAAATAAGACTTGATAAAATCAATATCAATATCACAGTATTATCAATCACAGACCAGTTTCTACTTTCTTCTCTAGGAAGAAAAAATAATTTGTACTAGAAGATTCCTGACATTCTTTGCACTAAAATAAAGATGAAAATTCAATGGGTTAGAAATAAACACATGTGTATTAGAGATATACAGTAACTGTATGCTTGCCTTCCTGTGACCTACAAGTATATCTTTTTTTAAACAATGAATCCATACTAAGAATTATGAAAAATACATCTGATGAATGATGATTGTAAGCCAGCTTTGTTAATTAAAGGTAAACGTGAATGCAGACATTGGTAATTCTGGGATAATTATGAATTTTTAGTAAACACATATAAAAACAGTACCAACAATACATAATCATGGGTATTCCAAATAAATATCTAAATAATTAAACATAAATATGGAATATAAATCGTTTTGATTTGGAACATCTGAATATTATAAGAGAAAACATAACAACTAAACATGAAATACAATGTTTACAGTTTAAAGTTTGCACTTCAATATGTGCAGGCCTATCGCATTAAAGTTGTTAGTTTCAAACATATGTTTCATATCCACCTGTTCTGGAGTGCCTTGGCTGATTAGGGTTATAATGAATAGGATCGGAGCTTCCACCTGTTGCTTGTTCTGTACTTACAGATGTTTCTCTAGGATGGTGAGTTGATGACCTTGGAGTCTGACCATGTTGAATGAATTCAATTGACCTTGAACTTGAATCTGTTACTGAAGGCATATAATAAACCTCTGAACTTCGACCTGAAGATGCATTGCTCCTGATACTTGAGATCTGATCTGATGACTCTTGTTTCCTGACAAAATTTGGTGACCTTGGACCGAGGTATTGGTTTAGGATATTTTCCTGATTTAAACCTCTGAAGTCATTGCTCTGGTTGCCTAAAGAAGGTGAGCTTGACCTTTGACCAGACAGTGTATTACTGTTCACCCTTGGAATGTGTTCCCTCTCTCCTTCTATAGTACAGTTTGGTCTTGGACTGAAGCATTTCCTTCTATTTTGTTCATTGTCGAGACATTTAGGATTGTTACATGCAGTTAAGTTACAATAAGCTGGTGAAATTGACCTTTGACCTGCAGCAGTATTCCTTCTCATTCCAGGAAAAAGCTCTTGTTTCACAGTAGAATTTTGAAATGCTGAGTCCTGAAATGACCTTGCATTATAACCAGATTTTGGACTCCAACATTGATTACTCAACCTTTCACCTTTGACCCCTGTGGGGCTGTTGCTGTGGTTACTCTGTGGGGGAGATAAGGTCATGCCTGTGTTCCTGCAGTGTGTAGTCCTGACAGCTGCTTGTGGAGATCTATGACTTGGTGGAAGTTGTCGTCTATAGATTGGTATTTCCACAGCGGTCAACTGTGGATGACCTCTTGCCCCTGAAGTAGATTGATCTCTCTGAGAATTGGGTACAGCTGGTGGAGGTTGACACTTTAACTTGACATCCTGATGGAATTGACTCCAGTCTTTCCAAGTGTTGTAATTATGTTTAATGCATATCTGTAAATAGTAATCATGTTAGTTATGATACAAAGTACACTTGTTTAGAATTTGGTTTGTCATTGGTCTAGGTTAAAGGATCAAAGGTCATGGACAAAAATCACACTTGACCACTTTTAAAAGATATATCAAGAACCTCCCAACAAATTTGAATTAAGTTTACAAAAATCACACTTGACCACTTTTGAAAGATATATCATGAACCTCCCAACAAATTTGAATCAAGTTTACACCATAGTAAGGTAACATCGAGTTCTAGACTTTATTTGATTTTGGTGGTCATGGGTCAAGGTTGAAGGGTCAAAGGTCACAGGCAAAGCGTACATCCAATCCATAGTGAAAAGCTTGTGTACAAGATATCTCATAATTCCAGCAAACATTTAGCTGATATACCATAGAATGGTACTAATATTGAGTTTACACCTGATTAGGTTTTGTTGGACATCCGTGAAGGTAAAAAGAGTCAAAAATCAAAGGCAAAGATCACTTGACCACTTGGGGAGGGGGTTTAATTAGTTAGCCTCGACTCACTTGTTTTTTTTGAGAAATGAACTCACAATTTTTTTTACTATAGAGTCTTCATACTTGATGACATATTTTTGGCCAATGAAAACTTACGGTTGCCCAGAAACAGAAGATGATAAGGAGACACAAGGCAAGTGAGAAGAGGCCCACACTTTCCCATGTGGGGAGGTTCAGATGGACAGCATTTGTAATACACAGCCAGGCAGTGGCGATGGTGAAAGGCATGAGTAGGGAGAAACAGATTATATCACATATCAAGTTCCTCTTGTCTCGTGGAGACCCAGGATTGGCTAGAAACTGAAACAAAGCAGTTTATACATTTTGGATCTCAAGAAGGCAATAATACATTGATGGTGTTTAGGATTCATGTAACAGATTTTATATCAAAAAAATAAATATAACAATTATGAAACAAGTTACATCAAGTTGTATTAATCACTCCTGTTTGCCAATGTTAGCATGCAGGGGGTTTGAAGATATTTCTTTGCAATATTTGGCATCCTCAGAAGTTATATTGATTTATAACTATATGTGATAAAAGGAGACAGTATCAACACAAATGCTGTAAAAATCACCTACCTTTCTGAATGGTTTAGTTTTCCTTTCCAATGTAAACTGGAAGTCACATATCTCACACCTGGTCTTGTTGGAGCTGCCCAGCCACCGCTGTAGACACGACAGGTGGATTTTACCCATAGATCCTGAGCAGTAACAGGGAGACAGCAGCAGCTCTGTACTATTACCTCCGTGACAAATACGACACACATCACGCTCACCGAAGGAACTGAAATAGGAACCGTTCTCTTGGTCAATAATAGAGATAAGATTATTTATAGAAATATTTAATTCTGAAATATTGAGATATTATAATTAGGATCCTTTACATTCAGTTAAATAGGCATGTTTAGTAGGGCTGCAATGATATATAGTACCATATTGTATCTTGATACTTTCTCTTTTGTATAGTTTTGAATAGTTTTGTTTGCCTTTTTTATCATTCAGTAAATATATGATAAACTGAGCAAAACTACTTAGTAGGTTTTAACTAGAAAAATATCTGAAGACTTTTATCTTAAAACATAAAAATATTTTCTTTGTTAATTTTAACCTTGTAGAAACAAAACAAAAAAGAAGGCTAAAGGTCTGCATTTTAGAGAAAACAATTCTAGGGTCTGTTGTAAACTCTGAAATATTTCTCTTTGCCCAAAGTCTCAACTATTACTATAACAACGGCCAGGGCAATGATATCATATTTGGTTAAGTTTCCTAATGATTTTTAGATGTAGTCATTTATGTCTCAGTCAATCAGGGAGCTGACAGCCACATTGGATTTGGACTAAACCTCAGCCCCCAAAAAATAATTCTAAGAAAAAGGAAACAACAAAGTTAGAGCCATGATAGAACAAAAGCCTGGTGGAAGTTGAGGCCATCTCCTATTTTAAAATCAGCCCAATCAGTCACTTGTTCAGTTGGCGGAAGTGGAGAAGGAGCCGACAAGGTCTCCACCTCTGTTTTACCTTATTTCTCTCCATGTCAAAAATGTTCAATGCAAATCCAGGTATAAACCTATTTATCCATGCATAAGGAGTAGGTTCGTTTTGTAAAGATCTCATTTCACTGAAAAGTTCCATCCCCTCTGCTAAAGTCCTTCCACTCAAACTTGACCTAACAGCTGTTGAAGATTTACCACTACTAACCTGTGAGAGACCTCACCTATCACTCAATTTTATACCATATTAAGTACCATTGGTCAAGGGAAGCTCCATAACAAATCTAATCAAAATCACTTCAATTGGGGCTTTGTGGAAACATGCTTTTTCTCCATATAAACGTCAGAGGACAAAAGAAGTTGCAATAATGTGAATTTGGTATGCAACACAATGCCTTGATAGCTGACCTACATACACAAGTGTTAGTCTGATGTCAATATTATGAAAACGTGTCAAAGATATGCTCCGGACATATGCACATATGAGATGAATAAAAAGTATTACCGGGTATATTATATACTCAAACTTAATTCAAAAAGTGTTGGTGAAAAAGTTGATGATGGCTGCATGTCATTATATAGGCCTTAGCGCTCACTTAGCCTAGAATGTACCTATTGAGACTTGAGAGAGGGTATCTTGTAGAATCCCGTCCTGTACGAGATGAAGAAGCTCTGCTTGTGATGGGAGAAAAGTTTGGAAGGGCACTTGGTATGGAATCAAACTTAGGAGAACCTCTTTCCAATCCCTGTGATGGTGACAGTGCATTACATCTTGTAGATGTTGATGGTGCTTTACTGGTGACTTCAAGCTGTAAAATGCAAAACACAATATAATCTGACAAATATGTAAATACGGCTTTTCAACTCTTACCATCTAACCACAGGGGCTTGTATAGACTTATATAAAATTAACTAGAAATACCTATATATATAAACACAAGAGAATAAACAATCGTCGATTGAAATTCTGACCTAATTTTTTCAAACTCTTCATATTTATACTAAATATCAACCTACCTACATAATTTTACCATCCTTCTATTCAGAAGACTTCAATCTTTCGATCCATACACAGTTTATCATATGCACCCATCACTGTCTTAGTTTAAATCGTAGTTTATATATGAAAACATCTCGGACTTTCCCAATTAAACGTCGATTTAAACTCTGACAGTGATGGGTGCATAGGATAAACTGTGAATGGATTGAAAGATTAAACTCTTCTGAATAGAAGGATGGTCGAGTTATGTTAATGTGTAAGTATGAAGGTCGATATTTAGTATGAAAACGGAAGAGTTTGAAAAAATAAGGTCAGAATTTCAATCAACGATCGTTTATACATTCTCTTGTGTTTATATATAGGTATTTCTAGCTAATTTTATCATATAAGTCTTTACAAGCCCCTGTGATTTAACATATCCTCGGGTTACCGGTTTCCACGCACTTAAGAAGCAACCACAATTTCGTACTCATATCGGCAGAAAACTGTTGAAATTACAGATGACTGTCATAAACATGTATACAATCTACTAATGGAAACAAAAAACAAGTGCATAAAACTGTATTTTAAAAAGTTCAGAACTAACAATTTTTAACAAATTTCTCCCGTCAGAAGTAGCCGTCATATGTTTCCGTGTGTGTATTTTGATTTAGTGTTCAAAGAAAGAATACACTATAACGAAATTCTCACAGTGACCTGCAAGAACAAAAGCTTCGTTTGGAATATAAAAAAAAACCTTTGATCTTCAAATTATTCTCAAAACATTTTTTTTTTAAATTTCACATTTTTAATTGATTTTTCAAGATGTCAAATTGAACTAATTCATGTAATTTTATATATTTATTTATTATATTATTTAGTGATAATATATAGAATCTGTTATTATTTTTTTCTGCAGTTTTATATCGGTTTTGGTTGATGGCAAGTTATTTCTCATTTTGTTCTGTTTAAAATTGGTGAACATTGGGAAGTTCATTGCATTACAAGGTTTACGTTCATTGAAAACACTGTTTATCGATATTAGAATCCATAGCTCTTCGGAAGTGGAAAAAAATCGGCGAGGAGATGTGGCCTCACCGTTTTTTCAGGCATGGGTTCATTTTGAGCAAGATAAAAAGTGCATTAAGTAAAACTGCATATTTATGCACGTTTTTTTAATCAGTGATTAATTCTTATGTTTTCCGGACGAACTTCCAGTAATTTTTTGTGTCAGTTTACAGACGATGGCCAAACGTCTAAAATATCCTTGTATTGTGTTCAGCAGGTCATCTCAGACAGCCAAAAAATCAACATCATCATTGAGGAGTTAGCATGTGTTAATAAATGCAAATATGTTAATTGTCGCTCCGCTTTTATATTCAGAAATGGCGAGGTAGTGTCACCATACTTATACAAGGACAACATCCATCTTTCAGCAAGTGGTACTGCCAAGTTACTCAAATGTATAAATGCTGTGTGTTCGATACTATCACCTACTCCCAGGTCAAAGGGAGACAACTCACCGGGTAAACACCACCAGCACATGAACAGGAACAACTACAATAACACAAAGTCCCAGGAGCCACGACACACACAATATCGCGGTGGTGTACATGACCGAGTGTCGACTCGAACATATCGACACTATCGCGAACAAGTGCCATTAAGTAGTGGACGTTACGATTGTGACACAAACCGGTATAACCGTCACCAAAGACATACGTCTTACCATGACCATGGCCATGATTATAACAAATACATGTATCAGGAAATCGCGGACATTACCTGTGCAGCACACTTAAACAATTTAGGTCTCGACCATTTTCAAAATCGTTTTAGTGTGCTGAATGACATCTGTGTTTGTGGTTGTAAAAAACCCAATGATAAGACAAATACTCCACATTTTAATTTAAATGACACTATCTGTGATTATACCATTGAAAAAAATTGTACAAATTGTAGAAGTCCTTTTTATAGTAACAAACAGCCAAGAAATCGAGCAGAAGTAAATAAAAATACATCAGACTCAGTGCAAACCAAGATAGATGCAACTAAATATAAACATATATGTATTAAAGAAGACATTACAAAATTAAAAGAAATTCTGTGTGATATAAATGCTAAAAAACAAAAGAATTTCTCAATGGCCCAAAACACTCCATCAGATTTTGGCGTTCCCATAAAGGGTTTACATAATGGAAATTGGAATATCCAACACTTACTACCAAAAATAGATGAAGTTGCACTATTACTGAATCAGGAAAACACCCTTCATGTACTCGGCCTATGTGAAACCTTCTCAAATGAACAAGTCACCAATGGTATAATCTCGATAGATGGCTTTAAATTTGAAAGGAGAGATAGATTAAACAAGCATACTGAGTATTGCTGAAGCAATACATGTCCC